CTAATTAATTTCAATGTTTAATGTATTAATGAGCGAATTTTTACGGAAATTATCGACAAACTTAGTTTTATGCAAGCGCAATATTAGCTCAAACAGAATAACAGTCAAAACAACATCAAAATTAGTCATGATTAATCGAAAAGTGACTTTCAATAATCAAATTTGCAGCTATATTGACATGATTTTAATGTTATGAATAGTTGTGATAACTTGTGCTTTATTTGGGAATTATATATACTGCGCAAGAAAATTTCAGAAATTAATGCGCAGATCTCTGAGAGTCACAAACTACTGCAGAAATATTTAGAAATAAAATCTTAAAATTTTTGGGTTTGTCCTTTATTTTCTCTAAAAAGAAATATAATCACCGTTGCGACGCCGCTCTATAGAAAATCGATCTCCATTACGACGAAACACATTTTCTAACGTAGTCAAGGATCGGTCGCGCATGCATCTGCTCGCGAGGACATTAGTACCTACGTTTTACAGGTTTTATAATATTGGATGCACATTCTAATGGAATCGACTGTCCTACACACTGGCTGTTGGCAGTGAAGAGATCTCTTCGTTCCAACATCGAATAAAATCGAACGAGGCCATTTGCCGAGCACTCGCCGTTCTCTCCTATCGTTGTTCTTGTCTTAAATGAAACGTCCGAGTGAAAAACAGCGTTCGCGGCTTATTGTCCGGAGGAATAACTATCGGTACTTTTACCTTTTTGGATCGCGACCAAGGTCGATGATTCGCTTGTACCAAAGTCAACCGAGGGGAAACGAAACGAATGTGGGAAAGAGAAATACCGGGAAAGTGTAGAGAGGAGGAGAATCTTTGAGAAGAGAGAGCACGCGGATCCTGACAACACAGATGCGAATACATGCACGGTAATCCCGAGGGAGGACAATTTTATTTGTTCCATCAAGAGCGCATTTCCTCTATCCATTTCGAACTCGATTCCCGGATCACCTAGTCAAGCTACTACCTTTCCTCGATTCGGTTCGTCTCGTCATCTACACGTGATGCATAAGAATACCTTCTCACGCCCTACGTGCACTTTCGAAGAACGAGAGCGCGTCTCGTAGCCCGTCTGTATTTTATTAATGGTGTCCCGTTTTTTCTTAAAATCTGTATATATTTTCATTGCGCCCTAGTAGATATACTCGTTGAAAAATAACTCCTCGCTGTAACGCAAATGTAAAAACAATGAATGATCAATGCTGAACTCTGTAACGGCGAGTACGCGAAGGTTTTCGCATCTGCATCTGCTCGTTAAGCGAAGTAGAAGGAATAATCGTGACTCGTTAGCCGCTACCGAGATTCCGCGAAGGTTCTCCTCTTTCTCTCTCTCTCTCTCTCTCTTCGTCCTTTTTTTCTCTTTTCTTCCTCGCTTTCTCTCTTGCACGCTCTGCCATCTCGTTCTCTTTCATGCCGAACCGCGTATCCCATCATGCATATGAATGAAACTGTTTTGCCGCGAGCCGAAAAAACGTCACGCTGTTAAACGACTCACGCTTATTCATAGCTGCAGTCAACCAACATCATCCCTGCTACCACCCACTCCCTGCTACCCCCTGCTACCCCCGCGGTAAAGCTTCGACAGACGATAATTCGAAGCTCGTTCCGGGCGTTCCCTTTGGACCGACCCTTTGTACGCTTGCGATATCGTTTCGAAGAGTAGCGCACCTCTGTAGAGTAGCCCCACCTCTCTCACCAATGCTCGTTCATCAAAACAAATCGGCAACTCTGCCGACTTAATGAGAAAATAACTTGCTAACTATGCAGTGAATAGTCTTGACCGCAAACACGTAGTATTTATGAAATTTGTCTGCAATTTGTAATTACAAATTGAAAATAATTTAAGTATATCTTTTATCTTTTTTTTTCTTTCCATAACTACAGTTGTATATTTTCATTGTAAAGTATTAAAACATCCGTGTCTCACATGCAAGAGTTTTTCCGTTTTTATTATTTCACGAGGCAAAATATGAAACGAGTTTTGTAAAACGAGTTAGATCGGCGGTGGCAAGTAATACGAAATTTATTTTTGACCATTCGTCCGTTTTCGCGTGCGTAATTCACAAATTTTTCAAAGCGCATTTTTACGAGAATCAGAAATGAGGGAAATATGAGGATCGATCTCGCAAGTGGAAAGCATTCAAGAGGTGTGTGCGTGTACGCTCCTATTGCAAAGATTTGAAAAATGTTCATTTTAATGGTTGACGTAACGTGAATATTGGTTACCACCGAAGTGTTACGTGCCCGGAGTCTCGAGTAGAAGCACGTACAGTACAATGTACATATACATCATAATATATATGTACATACGTATATATATATATA